TGTAAAACAGCACAAGACTGGTTGATCTGTGACTGGGCCAGATTCAAGGACTGCCTTCAGTAGTGGGGAGAGGCAGAGGTCTGGCTGCTTTTTTAAAAAAAAATGATCATTGAGTAAAGGAATTGGAGATAGTGATTGTAGAGAGATTTTCTGAGAAACTGAACAGTGAAAAATAGATATGAAAGTTGTAGGGATATCATCAGAAAAGGGTACACAGTAGTTTCATTTTGTTTTAATGAGAAAAGGCATCATGTGTATTTATAGTCTTCTGAGTAAAATGTTAAAAGGACAAAGATAAATAGAGCATCACATGTTAGGAGTGAGTCAGATCAAGGCCTAAGTGCCTTTAGCAGGAGAGGAGTGTCAGCTCTTTCTTTAGGATTTGAAGAAAGCAGTGGGAGTAAGTACAAATGTAGGGTTTTTTAGTTAAATGATAAGAATTCAAGAAATTTCACACTTAATATCCTCAATTTTTATGTAAATTAGAACTTTCTCATCTCCAGAGGAGACTGAAAGAAAAAATTAAAGAAAAGGGCCAACTGTCGTGGTGCAACCTTGTAATCACAGTGACTACAGAGCCTGTGGCAGGAAGATTGCAAATTTAAGGCCAGTCTCATCAACTCAGCAGGATCTTGTATTAAAAAAAATTAATAAAAATTAATAAAAACTAATAAAAGGAGCTGGGATGTGACTCAGTAATGTGTTCTTGGGTTCAACCTCCAGTACCAAAAAAAGAAAAGAGTGAATTTTAGGATTGGGCAGGGGTGGAAGGGAGAGTTACCACATATAGATATAGCAAAGATTTTCTAAATAAAAGAAAGGCACAGTTGACTTCAGATTTTTTGGAGCTACAGCAACACTAGTAGTCTGCCTGATTATTTAATCTTTTCACTCTTCAGTCACAAGAATAAATTGATATAAGATTGATCTAAGAGAATAAAGGTCCTGGTTTTGTGGAAGGATAAAATTATGATAACTGTTTAACCAGCTATAACTTCTAGGATGGAGCAGAAAGGAACTTCATGAACTCTCATGCAATGGATGCAAAGATGTGGGACTGAAAATGTAGTGACAATAAAGAAGGCTGAGTTGAACATGATCGTGGAATTTGTGGGGTCAAAAATTTATAACTTGGTGTTTAAGTGTCCAGAGATGGCATATTTCCCTACAAACAATTTCAGCATGAGGCACAAGATCACAATTACTATGAAATTGAAAGGATAACTCAGATTGGAAGATGATTTGCTAGATGTGTTATCTATATGAACACTAAGGTTATTAAAGAAATAAGAATTGAAAGTGGAAGGGAGAAACTGAGAGCTAGATACCAGTACACTTATACAATAACAAGGTTGGAGAGTGTACATTTTACATAAATGTTTGGATTTTATTAAGGAAGAGGTTTTTCAATTTTGATTCAAAAGTGATATAGAAACAATAAAGGAGAGCTGGAAAAGAAAAAAAAATAAGATTATAAAAAACTGTATAGACTTTAAGCTCTCTAAGTAAAAAATGATTAGTATGTTATATGGTTAAGGGAGTTAAAAATCTTATGATTATAAATCTAAAATGGTTGAGGGTTAAATTTCTTTATTCATGGGAAAACATCATGATGTGAAAAAATATTAAATCTTTTGGCTAATATGATCAAAATTTATATTATTAGTAATACTTTACTTGGACATAACTCCATATATACTATATATGTAGAGAGAGAAAGAGATAAATAGAGAACAAAGATACACACATATTAAAATGTTATTTCTTGAGCATTATTCTTTACATTTTATATTTAAGGAAACTAGAAACTGTTTGAAAGTTACATATGACTTTGAAGCCCATGTCACTCCAAAACACAATACAAAAGTAAACAAACAAAATTAATTTAAAATTAATTGAAGTAGGAAGTACATTGATACAGTACACACTAAAATTCTCACTGAGGTTTTACATCCTAACCCAAATTTAAAATTGTGTTCTAAATTTTTTTATTGATATTTTTGATGTGGATCATTGTGTATTTAACATACATCTTGTCATTACTTCATGAAAAGAATATCTTGTTGTTAACTTTTCATAATTATAATCTATATACTCCTATCAGAGTTAGATGTTGAGATCCTAAATCATGTATTTATTATAATTTGAGTTGACTCAAACTTGAAAATTCCCTCAAATGCTCATAAGAAGAGCATGCATTGAAATTTCCATGATTCATCTTCCTTACTGGTATTTAAATATGAAAACTTGAAAGAGAGAGGAGAAATGCTAATGATCCTGGAAGTTATTCTCAACAATTATCTTCAGGAAGTAAATAGTGGATATTCCAGTATCATGCCCATTTAAAGAAATAGAGCTTACAGTGAGGTTATTGCTGCACTATATAGTGCAGATATATATATATATATATATATATATATATATATATATATATACACTATAAAGGCTAATAAACATGATTTTGAAAATTTTATATAAAGGCTAATAAACATGATTTTGAAAATTTTGTCTCATTTTTTACTAATTGCTCCAAATATACTATGAAAAGTTATTTTAAAAATTCCTAGATATCTCTGAACTAAAATGACTAATTCTGCATCTAAACTTTTACATTAAATGATTATTTTTTCAGAAAGGCATGTTATAAAAAGCACTTTAATCTTTTAAGATGAAATATGGTTATAGTATAGTTATCAAAATTTAATGAATTAGGGATATTATCAAAGTGAATCTGTTTATTGAAACTGGAAGTTGATCAGTAGGAACTGTATATAGTAGCCTAATGTGCCAAACAATCACCATGATTTTATGGTGACCATCTTTTCTTTTCTAAATGTGATTTCATTGTTATGCAGCATTTATTTTAAAATAAAATGTCTTAGAATCTCACAAAATTAAAAAAAGAATTTGAACATAAAACAGAGCATATTCTATGGTTCCATTAATACAAATTTTAAAAATATGCATAATTAGTCAATGACCCAAGGAAAGACTTGCAGTTTACCAAAGGGAGGTGGATAGGCCTGGAATGGTTCAGAGCACATACTGAACATTGGTGATGTTCAATCTCCTGATGCAGATGCTGAACAGATGCATATTTTGTAAAATTCTATTGAGTTGTACACTCACAACTTGCAGAATTTTTGGTATGTTTTATACCTCAGAATTTACATTATCAATAGTTTGCTCTAGGGATAATTCCTATGTTAATCAGAGGTTAAAAGGTTAATATTCCACTAAATTTTTAGCTGCTTTGGCATTAGTAATAAATTCGCTCATTAGTATAGGAAATGTCTTGGACGACTTGATTTAGAATCAGCATTTAATTTTAGTTGGGAATATGATTTTATTTCTTATTATATAGTTAAATTGAAAACAAAAACAACTTATAGGTCAAGGCATAAAAAGAAAAACTAGCAATTTTTTTCTCTATGCTCTTTTTTGTTCCCTTTAAGTGAGAAGGTGAACTGATTGGAAATCTAATAACCATTACTCCAAGGCCAAAATAACTCTGCTACGATGCAAACCACACAGAACACAAAGAGATAAGCCAGTAATCTGAGCCCTCTTCTAAAGCTGAGAATATTAACTCTCTAGAAAATTCATAAGATATTTGATACGGAATGAAATATTTGAGTTGCTTAGTTTGTTACCTTGCCTAACAGGTAAATAGGATTATCCTGAAATATTTTAAATGCTGAAATATTTTAAATGATCCAAATATGTGTGTGTACAAAATTTGAAAGTTAAGTCAAACTCATGCTGTATTTTAATGAACTTTTGCTATTATTTGCTATTATTATTATTATTTTTCATTATTCATATCCCAACATTACCACTTATTATCTATTCCTTGGCTATTGAAATTTAATTAAAATTATATCAAATTAAACTTTCAGTTGCTTAGCCACTTAGGCTCATTTCAAGAATGCTGTAGTCATACATTGCTAATATCTACTGTCATGGGGTATATTTAGAACATTTCTATTTAACAGAGTTCATTTGGTCAATGCTAATTTATATAATTAAAGCAGTAGCTTCTTCAGATTATGATATTTAATAATAATAGAATTAATAAAAATAAGACTAGCTATACAATAGAAGATAATGATGATTATAAGTGAAAACACACAACTTACATATCTAGTATCATGAGGATTTTATATATAGTCTTATGATGTAATTTTTTGAAGACACTCCTAGCCACAATTTTTTCAAACATTTCACTTTTAAATAACTTTGAAAATGACATTCTGAAAATTTTTCATTAAGTAGAAGCCACAGAACCAACCTTATATATTATGGTCACAGCTGTATTTTTAAAGAAATAGAAAAAAAATCTAAGCAAATGATTAAAATCCTTTTAAATTATAAATGATAAGAAACTTAAACAGATTTTTTTAAGTCACCTGCCACCAATAACAAAACCTGGTAAATCAGGATACAAAATGATTAAGAAAGAAATTAGATTAGTAGTACCTTCTGTATTTATGGTTATAGCATTAATTCAATGAGATCATTTTACACATTCCTAAATTTATTTGTTAAAAACTCTAACTTTGATTTACCTTTCTGTCATTTTAATATTTTGTGCAGTCTTTAAGTTGATCCCCTTCTGGCTCTATGCTAGATTTTTAAAAACTCATATAGTATTCCCAATACATGAAAACAATCTTCAGGTAACCAGCCAGTCCCACCCTTCAACAAATTATGAATCACAACTCAGAGCTAAATTTATCAGGCATATCAGTTAAAAATTAACTTATTTCTTCCTCCATTGTCTATGTACTTTGTATTCACATTTCAGTAATCATTCTCATAATAACCATTCAACACCATGGATGCAAAGTACATAAATACACATCATGATATTCAGAAAAAAAAGAATTTTAGGACAACTTTATTGTATTATTACAACAACCTTAAAAACATAAATAGTCCCTTCAGTAAAGATTAATTTTTCTTGTCAATTTATAATCTTATTTTTTCCTCTCTCCTAGGCTACTGATAAAGATACTGGTAATTATAGTGCTATGGCATACAGACTCATAATACCACCAATTAAAGAGGGAAAAGAAGGGTTTGTGGTGGAAACATACACAGAACTCATCAAGACTGCTATGCTCTTCCATAATATGAGATCTTACTTCAAATTTCAAGTTATTGCAACTGACAACTATGGGAAGGGACTGAGTGGAAAAGCTGATGTACTTGTAAGTAGAGAAAACTTCAGATGTATAAATTACACACAGCTGGGCAAGTGGTGCATTCTTTTAATCCCATGAATTTAGGAGGGTGAGCCAGGATGATCTCAGCAATTTAGCAAGGCCCTAAGCAACTTGGACCTTATCTCAAAATATGATATAAAAATGATTGGGAAAGGTGGCTCAGTGATTAAATACCTGACACCAAAAAAGAAATAAAGAAAGAAATTGCATTCGATACTATTCAGATTGTATTTTCATCTCAGAACATTTTTAGGAATAATTTAAAACAGATTTTTAAAACATAAATATCATTAATTTTCATCCACATTTTTAACATCTAGACTTTTGTTATTTAGAAAACAACAAAAAATGTTTTGTAGCAATTTTTAATCAGTAATATTGTTGTTCTGACTTTCTCTTGGTCTGTGCACAAGTACAGTGGTAGATCATTTCCAAGAATAGTTTGATATTAGTTTTTATTGAATATATTTAAAGCTAATTCACATATCCTGTGCAATTGCTACTGAGTTGGAAGTGTGGACTATTTGGACTTTTTTATGATAAATCTAATAAAAATTATAATTATTCTTGAATATATTTGTCACGTAAAGATGGAGTAAAGCATAGTTTGTGTATTATTCTTCTTGTCATAATAAATCTTAATTTCTCACAGTTATCTTCATTAAGTTATCTGGACAAACTTAACCATCATATGCATGCAGTCATAAATGATCAGGTTTGTCTTCTTAGATAATGGTGAGGACCAATTTTCATGATTCTGGTGGGTACGAAGGCCCCAATTGTCCCCCAGCTACACTCTCCATTGTAACTGTAAAGCTATAATTGGATGAACAAAGGACCATCTCAACCAAGAAGTTTAGACATAGAAAATACTAAGGTTGATATAGAATTTTGATCAAATTAAGAGCTATAAATGTTATAAAAGAATGCCATTTCTTATTCTGTTTTTTAAGTTATGCATAATGGGTACCTTAAAGACTAAATAATAAGATCACTACACAAAGTATAGTCAAAATATGATAAAATAAATACAAAAATATATATATAAATAAATAGAATATATATAATGTGAATATTGTATATATGTGATTTATATATAAATAATGTGAAATTTATGTTTTTTTAAATTTATACTTTATAAATAATATATGAAAATTTTAGCATATGCTAAAATATATTTACAAGGAAAAATTCAAATAAATCAAATATTATATGTATAAGTGCATATCATATATTATTATATTATGACACAAACTAAGAGCATCAGGAAAGCCATCTCAGCAAAATTACATAATCCTATAGTTCAAAAAAGTAAGATATAATAGGAATGACTTCTATGCACAAGACACAATATGTGCCAAAACCAAGGGGAAATAAAAGATGACAAGTTTGAAAAAGTCACAGAAATTTATTTACTCAGCAGACAAGAATGTGAGAAGGAACAGGAATAATTAATAAGGCTAGAGATGAAAATAAGTGGTCCACAGAAAAGACTTAAGCCACATGAAAAATGATGGTACTTTTCCCTAAATACAGTGGGCAGCCACTGGAAAGTTTTAGTAAGATTGGGATAAAAGAAGGTTATTAAACTTAGAAGAAGGCTTCTTGTTTAGTACGAATCTAGTTCTCCCCTGAGATGGCACCATTTTTACTGCTGCTTTATTAGTGGTGGCTTTTGTTTGATTCTTTTTCATTTTTGTCTCTTACAGTCTTCATATTGCCCACTGGTAGAGTAGGATCTTCTGTGTACAATCTCATCACTTCTAAACCCTACCTTCCTCCTAAGAGTCCAGTCTTCATTCTCATCATCTGTCACTCACTACTCCCTGTGATCTCTCATATATATGATGGATAACTATCCATCATATATATAACTTTAGCTCCTGAATTACTGTTCACTATCTCTGCTAATTCTCTGAACTTAATTTTTTAACATCATTCATTATACGCAATGATGATTTTTTCAGTGATCAAAACTCACATTCCTTGAATGCCTTCTTTCCCATGACTCCCCCCCACCATTTCAACCATTCAGAGCCATTATCTTTGCCAGTACCTCCATAATTTCCATTTCAAACCTCTTACTCTTTGACTATAATGCTGAATGTGTCTAACTAAATTTATCACTCTTTGTCACCACTAGTACCTTTATTCCAGTTAGCTGACAATATATTTTCTGTCCATCATGTTTCTATTGAGACCTCCTAATGTTCTCCTTTCTTGCTTATCAGCTTTATGGCATATTTTCAATTATAATAAACATGTTAATATAAAAATTTAGCTTCCTTTTTTTCCTATATTATTTATGGTTCTCCAGAAAAACAGAACTAGTGGATTTACTAGACTGGTTAAGTTATAAGGCTGAAAAATTGCACAACATCCATCTGAAAACTGAAGAACCAGGGAATCTTGGTAGAATGGTTGTCTAAGAAGCCAGAAGCCTGACAACTGGGAAGCCTGATGATGTAGCTAGCAATTTAAGACTGATGGCTTAGAACTCCCAGAAGTCAGAGGACCTGGAGTGTATATCCAAGGAGAAGAGAAAATATGACCACTTAGAAAGGAAAAGCCAAAAGGAAAGAGAGGATGTTTTCTTTCTTGTGTTACATTGTTACTTATGGAGCCACCACCAACTGTGTGGTGCAGTCTTCAGTGAAAGCACAGCTCCCCCACTCAGTTTACTACCCCACACTCCAGTCTTCTCCAGAAACATCCTCACAGAAGCTCTTAGAAGTAACACTTTACCAATTATCTAAACATCTGTTAATCCAGTGAAGTTGACAGCCAATCACACCACCTTTACTGATACATGCATTTAGCAAAGTTGTGACTCTAGTTAATTCCAACTCTCTACTTTCTCCATACCTCTTCCCATGCTAATTTTATCTTCCAAAAAGAAACACAGTAGTATGATTAGTTTCATTTTAAATAAACTTTTATTTTCCAGCATTCACTCTGTATTTCTTGAAGTGTTCACTCTCAATATTCTAGAAAATCTGTTCCCAATAGTCCAGTATATTATCTGCATCCTCATTGTTATTTAATGGAGTAGGATTCTATTTCATAAAGCCAAAACTAGCACTCCACCACTAAATTGACTTACTGATTCAAAACACTTTGCTTCCTTTCATAGTTTTGTTTATTCTCTATGCTTTATTCCAATGAATTCCTTAACTTAAAGACAAAATATGTCTATTTAAACCTATTTGGTAGATATTTACACAAAAGTAAGTGCTGTAATCACATCATTTTGAGAAAACAAATGATAGTATTTACTGCTAATGAAAACATTGAAGCTTTTCAGCACAAATTGGATATTAGAAAGCTTATATCTGCCACTAAGAAATGACAGCTTCTCTTTACTTAAAGATTAACTTATGAGATCAATGATAATAGTAAATAATATTTCATTTCTTGATATTATATAACAAAGTGTGTCCCATTTGAAAACTCTGACAAAAATCTGAACTAATATTTTCCACATGATTGAAAAAGACATTGAAAACTCATTCATGGGTAAAAGATAAATTCAAATTACAATAAAGATAAATGAATCTTCAGTGTTACTAAAAATGTTTCTAAATGTGGCTTTAGATTTTACATCAAACCTAACCTTGCAGAAATTATCACTTGAGTTTTAATGTAATATCAAAGCATAAAATACATGATGATTTGAAAAGGATTTAAAACCATTACTTTCATTTCATGAAAAGTGAGTGTATAGCAGAGTTCATTTAAAAGGAACAATGACCAGTTCAAGCAGGAAGTGATGCATGTATCTGTAACTGGATTGTCCAACACACTAGCTTTCAGTCAAATGTAGCTACTGATCACTGGAAATTCACCTGGTCAGCATCGGATGTGATGTGCTGTAAGTATCTAATGCACACTGGATTGCAAAGACTTAAGATGAAAAAAAATGTAAAATATTTCCTTAATACGATTTTTTATATTGAATATATATTCGGATAACATTAAAGTTTAAAATATTGGGTTAAAAGCATTATTGAAATAATTTTGCAAATTTTTATCTGTCAATGTGGATACCATAAAAATGAAAATACCATATATATCAGTTGTTTATGAGTTGTGTTGTATTTGTATTAGATGGCAATCTCTAATTTTTATGGGATCAAGAAAGGGAAATAAAAAGATAGTGTGTTCATGAGGAAGAAATAATAGGGCTTGGAAATAAAATATGTAAATTAGAAACCTCTGTTTTAGAACTCTGTGATTCAAAAATATAAATTTTCTTTTTTATTGTGCCTAGTCATTTTAACCTATTACAAAAGCAATACCTACAATGATATAAATCTATATTTTGAAAAGTTTCACTTATAACCAACCTACAGAGCTGAATTAAGGAAATTTGTAGGATATTTTTACAATTATGGTATAGGATTTTGTTATAGTTCAGAGGTGGAGCACATGCTTAGCATGAACAAGGTGGTCCTAGGCTAAATCCCCAGCACCACACAAAAAAAGCATAAAAATATAAAATTATAGTGTAATTAAACCTTATGAATTTCTGAAATATCTTCATATTGTTATTATGGGAAAGGAACAATTTTAGAGGTAAACTAAGACAATATATTTGTAGTTAAATGTAGCCTGACTTTTATTAATTTAACAGAAATAGACATATATATTTTTTCATTTCTTTCTTTCTTTTCTTTTTTTGGTTCTGGTGATAGAAGCCAGGGGTGCTTAACCACTAAGGCCCCAAGTGCTCTTCATTTATTTTTTTCAGATAGAGTCTAAGTTTTTGAGGTTGGTCTTGAACTTGTGATCCTCTTGCCTCAGGCTCCCTGAATCACTGGGATTATAGGAGTGTGCCACCACATTCAGTATATTCCTCTTATGTCCTAAGAATACAAATCATGTCAGAATTTGTCAAGATCTAAGAATATTTTTGAAAATTTATAAAAATCTGTACATATTTCTGAGGACCTAAAATATTACTTACTTTTTACATTGATTCAATCAGAATTTAGTTCCAAAGCTCACTAATAAACCTAAAATCTTTTTGAATAAGTTATTTCTCTGGAATGCAGCAAAAACATTGGCAGTCCTTAAAAGGCCAATGATGGTTACTTATATCTGCAATGCCAAATTTTGCTTCCCTACTGTATAAATTGATTGAATTCTAAATATTTATTTATAAATCAGCTGCTCAATAGCATAACACAAGCACAGAAAGTCTATAGCTTCTTTGCACACACATATAACTAACAGTCTAATTTTTATTGCTCTAAAATTATTAAGAGTCTACCAATAACTGTGGTAATAGAACTTAGATATTTGAGCTGATGGGGTAAATATATAATAAAAAGTCCAAAATTTTAGTTCTTTAACAAAACTAATTTTCTTTTTCTCTCACATGACATAACAAGAGAGTATACATGTTTGACTAGTGTCCTTTATAGTTATTCAAAAAAGTTCAGAGACTTTTGTATTTCTCCCCTTCTTTATGGCTTCTTCATCTTGATTTAGATGGGGGTGGATTTCACAGATAAAAGAATTCTAATATTATTAATTCTTTCCCTTCCTGTCTTTACATTAGCAAGAACTTGATCATATGTCTGTAATAACCAATCTGGGAGTCTGGGAAATCTATTTTTACAATGATCCCACTAGGAAAACAGAAATAGCTGGGTGAACAGTTAACCAGTGCTTATTACATATTATCAAATATGCATTTACCAAATATGCCTTGCATGCATTTTATGCAGGGCCCAAATGCTGACAGGGAAAAACATGTTTCTTGGATATAGGGACAGATCTATAGAAACACATCCAACAGGATGGATAGTGATGTTAACCTGCATTAAAGGAAATAAAGAATGATTATCCCTGTCATCTCTTCAATACACTGCTTATGCTCTTCATTGCTTTGCCTGTCAATAACTACCATGTTATCACTCCTGAACCTCCTCCCACTAAGTAGTTGGAAGTACTTCTGCTCAAATACACTGGGATAGCTCCTCATTCCTGAGGCCACTAGTTCAGAACTTCTGAGTCCAGGTGAGAGGACAGTTATAGGATATGATGGGAGGTTCAGGAGGTTCAGGAGGTTCTGGTGAAGATATTTCTTGTTTAAATAATGTCTTATGATTGTTATTTTTCCAGGATATTTCTTTTTCACTAGATTTTTATCTGACTTTTCATGGTCTAATATTAAGAGAGAGAGAAAGAGAAGGAAAGAAAGAATTTCATAAGTTTTATATATGTACATCTAGAGATTTTTCATGTGTTTTTCTGCTAATACTCAAAAGTAATTTGAAAAGGTTTCTACATAACTTTGTTCTTTTTATCCAGGACCAATAAGAAAAGAAAAAGTTACATAAAAACTGTGAAAATCAATTTTTCTAATGAAGTTACGTGATTTTTGTAAATAAAGAATCAGGACTGATCTGTTTAAGTAAAACTTAGATATTTGGGTCCAGATAGTTATATAATGAGTTGGAGGTACAGAGGTCACACTGCCCATGTTAACTGTTGTGCATAGGTGATAAGCCAACAGATCCCTGGCTTAGTATACAGTCTTCAGACCTGAAGTATTAGACTAAAAAATGGTTAGAAATGTTTTTAATTGTTTGCAAACATTTTTTCATAACAGTTTGCATTTTTTTTCTCTTCATTGAAATATTCAGCAAATCTGAATTTTCTTTCTAAATAGTAATATTCAGTAGAATTAAATGGTAGCTGAGCTCTTCAAAGGAATTGTATGTACTCTGATTTGCAACACTTGCACTTCTCCCAATAATCTTGTGGCTACTTCACATTTAATAAGTGATTGTTGTAACTATATGACTCTGACTCCCTGATAAGGCATCTATGTGCAACATAGATGGTAAAGAAGTTGGAGCCTATATAAAAAGTAGATGGCAACATAAAATTATTCTCTCTATAGATTGTGTTGAATTTTTGGGTAAAAATAAATGAGTTCTTTTTCTTCTGTTTTTCAGGTCTCTGTGGTCAAACAGCTGGATATTCAAGTCATTTTGTTTCCAATGTGCCACCTACTTTAGTGGAAAAAAAGATAGAAGATCTTACAGAGTAATGGATTTTGTTTACTTATATATTTATTTTCATATGACTAATTTAATTAAGTCATTTTAATCATTATGATATTCAGATTAAAGCTATCTTTTAAAAGAGTTTCTTCATGATAAGTTAGATTACTATTTTCTCTATATAGCTTCATTGGAAATATGTAAATATTTTGATACTACCTTCAAATATCAACAAAAGGTTTGAGAAGATTTTATTATTCTGAATGCTTTGATTGATACAGCAACAAAACTTCAAAAGACTGCAAATTGCTAATATTTAGGCAATTATATCCATAGTTTAATGTATGCTTCATTTGCAGTCCTAGAATATATAAAAAATAAAATGTATTATGTTAGCAATCCAGCTAGTCCAGAAAATGTTAGTTTTAAAAATAGTATGTCTCAGTTTCTAGAGATTATTCTATAAAACCATATTAAAACTAATTTTGAACAATATGTCTTCTTAGTTATATAAAACATGTAGCATGTTCTTATTCTTTGTTAACATTGGACATTACATAGTCAAATATGTTGTTGACTCAGTTATAGTTGCCATTATTTATTAGGCTGCTATTCTCTAATTTTATACTATCACACAGTATTAAAATATCTTCACTATTTCATTCTAAACTATCCTAACATATTTTGTAATTATCATATCTTGTATTTATTTGTGTGTTTGTGTGTGTGTTCTGCGCTTTCATATGGTACCCTTTTTAAACGCTAACCCTTTATTCTGTTTTATTTCTCTTCAAAGCATTATCTAATATTTTGGCAAATATGTCATTTTCCCACTAGAATATAATCTTTATGTAGGTAGGAAATTTATTTTTACTGCTCTAACTGTCGTTATATATTAGGAACTTGATACTTCTATTCAATGAGTGTCTTGTGCACAAAAAATCATGATGCCTTTTCTTTATATTTAATTAAACTGAAATAGAAAATCCAAAACAAAAGTACAGTTTTGTAGAGATTTGTAAGACATGATGACCTTATTGGATATGGTGGATGTGATCATATGAAGAAGAAAAAAATTGTTTTACAACTTCAGATAAATGTATGATTGCAAAAGGAGCTTCAACTTCATATGACTGGTTTGTAACACAGACTATAACAACTGATTGTTTCAGACCTAAGTTTCACCTTTGATCAGTAAGAACTAATAAGGCCTATAAGATTGTTGAGAACTAAATTATATACCTTCACAATGAATATTATGAATATACAATGAATTTTAAACTTTTTACATAAAGAGGATTTTATATAAAGGACAGTTCAACTTTACATAGAATGATATCATGTTTTTGAACATTTTTATAAAAGAACTTAACTCTATAATGAATAACAGTTTATGAATTCAAAAGTACATATGATATTCTATTGTAAATGGGCAAGATAGTTAATACTTGTGGCTATACTTTCTTATCTTGAAAATTGGAATAAAGACATCTATCTTTTGCTAATTTTTTTTTAATACTGGTGATGAAACCCAGGACTTTGCACACACTAAGCAAGTACTATGCACTAAGGTACACCCACAGCTCTCTTTTAATAATCTTGAAAGTATTAAATATGTCTTTTCCAGTATATTAAACAAAAAGACACATATTTGCTTCATTCCTTTTCTCATTGTGCTAAAATTTCACGTAATAAATTTTATCATTTTAGTGATTTTTGAATTTATAACTTTTTATTGTTAAATTTTTATACATTGCTCTTAAACAGATTTCCAGAATGTTTTTATCTTGTGGAACTGAAATTCTATATACATTAAGTAACATATCTCCCTCTCTCGTTATCCCACCATTTTACTTTCTGAATATATAAATTTGATGACTTTAAATATATCATGTAAATAGAATAATACAATCTCTCCTTTTGTAATTGGCTTATTTCACTTAATGTAATAGCATCAGTATTCATCCATGGTGTTTTATGTCACCAGTTCTAGTCCTATTTTAAGGCTAAATTTTATTCTATTATATGTGCCTACTATATTTTGTTTATCCATTCATCCCTTGAAAAACATTTGGGTTCCTTCTACTTCATGGGTATTGTGAATACTGCTTCTATGAACATAGGTGTACAAATATCTTGTATAGACCTTGATTTCATGTTTCTGTATATATGCCCAAGGTGAAATTTTTGGAATATATTGGAGTTCTACTTCATTAATATTTTTAAAGTACATAATACTGTTCTATAATATTTGTATCATTTTACACCAAAAGTACATAAAGCTTTGTACTACTTCACATTCCTATCAAAGATATCTCTTTTTCTCTTAATTTTGTTGATAGTAACCATCATAAAGGGTTCAAGGTCATACATTGTTGTGTTTGCATTTGAATTTTTCTGGTGAGTAATAAAATTGAGCATAGTTTTATATGCAATTAGCTGTTTGTGTGTAATCTTTGAAGCAATGTCTGAGTTGTTTGACTATTTTCACAGGAGTTATTTGAATTTTTTGTAGTTAAGCTGGGGACGGAAATTCTTCATATATTCTGATATAAACTCCTTACCAGACATCGGATTTGCAGCTTTTTGTGTGGTTCCATAGGTTACCTTTTTGCTCTTTTGGTTGGGTCCTATAATAAACACAAAATTTTAAATTTGATGTCATCCCATTTGTCTATTGTTGCTTTTGTGGACTATGGTATTGGTATCCCATTCAACAAATCATTATCAAATGTAATAGTATGTAACTATACTTATATGTTCTTTACTGGGGTTTTATAGCTTTAGGTCTTACTTGTAGGTCTTTAATCTATTTAAAGTTAGTTTTTATATATGGTATATTCTTTTATATGTAGATACTCAGTTTTTCTATCACGGATTGTTAAAGGGATGGTCCTTTCCATTCCTGATTTCTCTTTGTATATTTTAAAAATATTTTTGTTGTTGTTTTTTTAGTTGTAGTTGGACACAATACCTTTCTTTCTTTCTTTCTTTCTTTATTTATTTAATGTGGTGCTGAGGATCGAACCCAGTGCCCTGCATGTACTAGGTAAGCATTCTATCACTGAGCCACAATCCTAGCCCCAGATTTTAGATTTTTCTCAAGAAGGAATATATTGACCACTTTTTTGAAAGTTACCTTAGTTGATGAAAACAGTAGAACTTTTAGACCTGATTAAGCAGTGTGAATCCCTACATGTTCATCCTATCAGTACTAAAGAGTAATAAAATATAAACATAAACCATGTAGACCACAGAGTACCAATTAGTTTAATTAAATATAAAAATTTATTGTTCCAGTGACCAGACTAATTAACATGTTCATTCCCTGTGTGCTGAGGGCCATTACCAAGTAGGAATGACGCATCGAAATTTCCTTGCCAAGCGTACCCCATGCTGCTTAGAGGACATTCAATGGGACATTGCATGCATGCTTTAATGAGGTGACCTTGCTCAAGGACCAAGGCGGATCCAGGTTTAGAGCTGATCAAGTTTGAGGAAGTAACCAGCTCCTTGAGTTTAAGGCGTTGCCAGTTTAAGATAATGGGTTTTAGGGAAGTTGGAAGTTGAAGATTATTGCTGGGATTAG